GGAGCTGTCCGTCCACGTACAGCCGGTCCACAGTGATGACAGCGTGGGAGCCCTTCTGGATGAAGCCGCGTCAGATTGGGAAGAGGACCCTGCTTCGTTCCAAGATCTCTTTGGGGAACTGGTCGTTCACGCTGAAGTCCATTCCTTTTAATTCCCTGCCGCGGCTTTTCACCTGTTGCTTTTGTTTGAAGTGAACCAAATTTGGCCACGATAGGACGTGGTCTCCCGGTCGCAGCCCGCATGGGGCCGAGGCGATGTACCCGATCGAAGACGATGTTCTTCACCGTGTCCTCCGGCAGCTTCAGGTGGTTTTGATGAAGCTTTTTACCGTGGTCTCCGCGTCCTCTCCAGCGGCTTCTGGAATACCAGAAAATACCTGATTATCACGCATGCTACGAGCTTGTAGATCAATAACTGTTTCTTTTATTTTTTTATTTTCTCTATTGAGCTGGGTAACATTTTCTGTGAGACATTTCACCGACTCCCTTAGCGTGGCATTTTCAGCAGCAAGCATTTCCACCTGCTGCTGGCTGAACTCCAGGGATTCTCGCAAGCATTTAAATTCCCGGTGAAGAATCTCCACCAAGGACAGCCTTGCGTCGAAACTGGACAATCGCTTGTCGATTGACTCCAGTATGTCAGCAATATCTTTGCCGGCTGGCGATGTTGTGCCGGGGGAATCTGCCGGGCGTTGTCTTTTCGACGACGGCGTCTCAGGTTTGGCCGGGGAAGCTGCACACTGGGCCTTCTTCATCACGAGATCCTGAAAGCACTGATCAATATAATCTTGGAGAGTCTCTAAACTCTCCCCATTGTTCTCCAGGGTGTTGGAGATTATTTAGACAAATATTGTTAGTTATAAGACAATTGATAAGTGTATTTGGTAATACTGAAGCTTAAATGAATTTGTTCAAATCTAAACTACCATTTGCTTTAATTTTCCACCAAAATCTCCGGCGTCTGACGTCAGTTACAACATGAGTCGCTTACCTTGTCCGTCACTCCTTACCTTGTCCGTCAAAGCATGGTGACTTTGATAGATTCCATATCTTCCTGTCAGCCAGAGGGCCACCAATGAAAACCTCTCTTGGGGAGATTAGACAAAATCAGGTATACTTTGCATTTCTCCAGTTTTCTAAGTCATAACATGTGTTTTAACAGTTATTAACTATTAGTCAGGATCAGATTTGTTCACCAAGTAGCAACTATAAGATAAAATCAATTTAATTATTATTCAGAATTTCTTTTAGTCATTGTGTTATAATCACGGTAATTAAGAAACCACCTTCTTCTGCTGCAGCTTTTTGAGTAAACTCACACTTCTATGCTCTGTGGAAATTTGCTGTCATGACTTTGAAGATTACTGCAGAGAGATACAATGTCTGGTGTTGCCTTTACACAGTCTACCATTACCACAGAAGAACAAAGTCAACCCCTAAAGTCACTACTCAAGAGGAAAGCCCCACAGATTCTTAAGGAGTATGAGACTACAGGTACCCTGTCAGTGCCATCAAGGAAGCTTCTTGTGAAGACTTGCATTGGGGATTTGGTGGAGAGGTGTGGAGAGTAAGTATAGCACCTTACTGCACTTTGTTAAATTTTTGCAGTGAATGTTTCCCTTTAAAAATGTTGAAGTGCACAGAAGTAAAAAAGGTTACTTCTGTTTACCAGTTACCAGGGTGGTATCGACGATACTGATCCGATATGGATACAAACACGTTTTTTTTTTTACTGTATCTTTTATTGTATCTCTAATTATAGCTTCATAATGATTACAATACATCAGATTACTTGTTCTTATCACTTAATAATTCCCTATCCATTATGCTAGCAGTGTCCAAGCATTCTTTCTTTGGTTTTCTTTTCTTTTCATACATAAGCTAGGAGCTGTGTATTTTACCTTGAAGAATTTGCCACCAGAGTGGAATTCCTCACTTGCAAATATTCACCTGTGTCTTTTGTTTAACTCAATTGACAGGGAGGTATATGGATTTGACAAGATTTTGAAACCACTTCTTGATGACTTGAGATTTCTTGAAAATTCTGGTCTAATTGTGGATTTAAAAGGTCATAGCCATCAACTATATGGTACAGTTTGTGTGTTAACAGCAGAGATGGGCAGTAACGTGTTACTTGTATTCAGACAGGAGTCTTCTTTCACACCAGTTTTGCTTGGTTCATTTAAGTAACGCATTACTTGTTACTTGTTATCAAGTATAACGCGTTATACTTGTTACTAAAGACAGTTATCAGGAATATAGGTTTCAAACTCTGGTCCGCAGGCCAAATTTGGCCCGCAGCCTAACTACATTTGGCCCGCGAAGCCATACCAAATTAATATCAGAGCTGGCCTACTGGTATTATACAGCTAATATATATACTGTACATCCTAAGGTTTTAAAAACTGAGCTTAAATAAATGATTAGCGGTAATAAAAGCCGAGGGAGGTCAACAGTGATCACTGACTGTTTTAGGAGCTTTTTGAGATTAAATAGAAGAAAATACAAAACATTAAACATGTTAACAACACAAAAGCCATATTAAACGCAGACTACTTTAGGCCCGGAAGTAGGATTCATCACGTCATCACTTAACGACTGGATAGTTAGTTTGTTGTGTAGTTATTGTTTTGTATTGTGTGTCAGTCATACTGCTGAATTTCATATTTTCTCCAAAAAAAGCCGTCAAAGGCAGATTCCAGTGTAAACGCTGTTCCCACATGGAAAACTGGACTGATGCACCTCCTGCTGTCAGACCTGCAGGGTTTAGGCCTTTGGTGTTCTCCTCTGTCTTATACTGAACACAAACTACATTTTTTGGACTGGCACAAATAATTTGTGTGCCTTCTTATTTGATGCAGCACACCTGATTGTTCTGTAAATAGATTTAAATGGTTGTGCTGAAAATAATGATACCAAACAAGGCAAGAAAAACATATTTTAAAGGTGAAATATAGAGGTAAAATCAAAAGTAGTCAAAAACGGCCAATTATACCCTGGACCCCAGAGAGTTAAATCTTCGTCTGAACCACATCTGTAGTAAATAATGACTTTTTACAGTCCGATATAACTGCAGGGAACACACAGGCTAACAGAAAATAGTGAGCACACTCTGGCTCGTTGGTCCAGCTGTGAATCCGTTACCGTGAACTATGGGCACATTTGTGCTGGAACTAAGCCTCACACAGCTGACGTTAAACATTACAGGCTGCCTCACTTACCTTCACACGGAGACGATCAGCATTAGTCACAAACAATAAGGTCAGAAAGAAAAACGTTAGGAATGAAGGCAACATCCAGAGAGGCATTTGAGGACACATTCACAATCAGGAGAATAAGAACCGGATCAGTTTGCAGAATCATTAGAAAAAACAAAAGAAACAAATGTGATGTCATCACATGGTGATAGTAAACAGCAAATAATGTTTATAACCAGAAATACACAGAATTACTGAAAAAGAACAAAGTGCATGTGTATGTATGTACACGGCACATGAAGGATGTGTCATCCCAGCCAAATTGCAAAACTCTTAGCTGTGTCTCTAATAAATCCTCTGTAACTTTGCTGCACTTCAGCAGCATCAGGTAATGTTCATATGTTGATTAGTTCAGTTCAGTTTTTGATCTATTGCAGAATATTTTTAGGGTTGTCTGCTATAAAAAGTCAGGCCAGGAAAATCTCCTTCATGTTTTTCTGTGTTTTATCCTCAGTTACTTTGACACAAAGGCATCTGCTGTGTTTACACCTCTGATAAAGCCTCACAAGTGTGAGCTTTGTTTTTATATGTAGATATAAAAATATGGATATGTACTGATGAATGGTCATAGTTATAATATTTCTGACTGTCTGAGTTGACATTGAATTGAACTGAATTGAATCAGTTATAGAAATCAAGATCAATACCCAGCTCTACTCACCACACCAAACACCACACCAAACCTCAGAGACTAAAGTACCCACATTAAATAGACGATGAGCTGCATTTATGTGCATCTCGGAAATTCCCAGATCTCTTGTCAAACAGCTGGAAGGTTTTCAAAAGTTGTTTCATTCACGCTTTATTACCTATGATGTTATTTAAATGTTTCTGTGTTCTAAATATACCTGAATGAGATACTGTAAACCTAATAGAGCTTATATAAGTGTCTATGCAGTGCTGTGAGATGTAAAAAAATAGAAACTGAAAGTAAAATTTAAATATAAATAAATAGTCCGGCTCCACATGAACCTGACCTCCTGTAATTTACATTCTCACCCCCAGATGGCCACAAATTACCTTTAATGATGAGTTCTAGGAGAGACAGAGGTGTACTCATTAAACTTCAGTCACATTTCTTAAGGTATTATGGTGTATTACAGAGTGTTAAAATCATCACCTGAGACTGTCACTGAGTTAACTGGATAATCAGTTATAATTAATAACTAATTAATACCTATAATTAATTTGTTTGGCCGGATTCTGCTGTCAGAGGTTAAGTACATGACAGTCTAATTATGATAAAATTTATTGTACAGTTTTACTGACTGCCAGCCATGACACAGAATTTGACTTCAGTAGATTGATTGCAGTGGTCAAACAGATCCATCACTTCTATCAGGATATAACAGAAACGGATGTTTTTGTATTTTTCTCTGTTTTTATTGTATTTCTTATTAGCAGCTGGATGTACAGACCTGCTGTATGATACATTTAGAGCACACAGGAGGATCTCTGTTGATGGTTAAAAGCTTCAAATTTATTTTTCTTTGAGTTCTTTTATTCTTTATTTGTCTTTATTTGTTGACTTGTTGTTGATTGGGATATTTTTGTTTGTTTGTTTTTTAATATGAAAAGCTCCAGTGATGGTTTGTGTCCACCAGAGGGCAGCAAACACACATCAATGGACCTGTTGTTTTACCTTCTGGGCACAGTGAGGGGGAGGAAGAGGAGGAAGGATGAGTGAGGGTCATGGGACCTTGTTTACTCGTCCTGAACCATGTGAGTCATATGAGACGGAAAAGAGGAAGAAGACGGTGAAAAGATGGAGGAGCTGTCCCGGCGGGCGAGGGAGGCCGGGCAGTGGGTGAGAAGGTGCTGTTGCTGTGCTGAGGAAGAGGAGAATGGTGAGGAGAAAGGTTATGATGGAGATGAAGAAGAGGAGGAAGAGGTGAAGATGGAGGAGTTGAACTTCAGGAAAAGTTCAGCTTCACTTCCGTCTGCTGAGGTAAAACATCAGCTGCTGTAAAAAGTGCAATTATTTCATTTTATTTATCATTTTTATTTTTATTTTTTTTTAAAGAGTAATCCTTTTGTTGTGATCTATTTAACATGTAAAATCTGTTATAGCATGTTGTAACTTTTTACAGTGGGTATGCTGTCTCGATTTAAAATATGACGTTACGTCCATTCAACACATTAATTAAAAAAAATAAATTATATATATATATATATATATATATATATATATATTATTTTTTTTCTTTTTTTCTTTTTAATTAATGTTTTGAATGGACGTAACTTCATAATAATGATAATAATGGATTGCATTTATATAGCGCTTTTCGAGACCCTCAAAGTGTCACGGCTGGCGGAGTGAGCCGTGTGGAGTGGAGGAAAAGGAGGACCCAAAATGCAGCAAACTGATGATACGAGTGAAGTTTATTTACACGGTGGCAGTGGCAAAAACAGGCAATGAAGCATGAGTAATGACAAACCTAAACTGGGAGAAACTAAAGAGCAAACCTGAAATCTTACAAAACGGCGAGCGGAGCAGAGAGACGCAGACCAAGGACCAGGATACCAAGAAACACAGACGAGCCGACAACGAACACAGACCGACACCCACTATATATACACACACACACGGTAATCGGGTAATCGCACACAGGAGGGAAGAACAGCTGATCTGAATACACATGATGACTGGAGGACACAAGCTGAACACAATGACAACAGACACAGACTTTCAGAACAAAACAGGAAATCTAGAACCCGAACCGGACACAAGGGGGGAGGACACAGAATAACTAGAACAGAGGGAAATAATCACAAAACACAAAACGCTGGGTCAACGACCCAGGACCATGACACAAAGTGCTTTACAATTCCACTATTCATTCACTCTCACATTCACACACTGGTGAAGGCAGCTACAGTTGTAGCCACAGCTGCCCTGGAGCAGACTGACAGAAGCGAGGCTGCCATATCGCGTCATCGGCCCCTCTGGCCATCACCAGTAGGCGGTAGGTGAAGTGTCTTGCCCAAGGACACAACGACCGAGACTGGTTTTATTGCATTTTTTATTTACCATTCTTTATTTTTTTTCTTAACTGTATTGATCCCACAGGAGAACTTTTTGTTTTACAGCAAAATGATAAAGGGTAACAATATTACAGTCTACAGTACACAACAAATAACACAGCTAAATAAAAGGGTCACAGGTGACGATCTTATGTTGTGAGAGAGTGCAGGAATTTATAAACTTACAACAGTGATGAAAAATAAAGTAACGTAAAAATGAAGTTAGTTAAAACAGTAAAAGTTCGACTGACGTTGGTCAAGAGAGAAGAACAAATTGCATTAATAAATATATAAGAAAAACAGCTGCATGAAGGTTTAATACAAAGTATGTTTATGATCTAATGGTTGACAGGTTTGTTCACCTGTGACAGAATGAAGAATCAGTGTGCAGCTTTATAGAAAACAGCAAGAACGGTTTTCTGAAGCGAGATTGATCAGTCTGAAGGAGAATGAGCTCAGAAGTGTGAAGTAGGTGTGATGGTTGTCCATGATTGAGAGCAGCTTGTTCAATGACCTCTAACCCTCATTGACTCAAATGTCTCCAAATTCTGACCAATGGTGCTTCCAGCCTTAAGGATCAGTTTGTTGATCCTGCAGGTTTCTCTGACTCGGATGGCACTAACTCTCACAGACTAGTAGAAGATCGCCAACATCTTGCTGCTCACATTAAAGGACCTGAGCTTCTTTAGAAGGTAGAGCCTGTTCAGCCCCTTCTTGTAAACGGCATCACTGTTAGTCCTCCAGTCTAGTCTGTCATTCAGGTGAACATCCAACTACCTGCAGCTGTCTACTGTTTCCACCTCCTCACCCATGATATTGATTTTGGTTGCAGTTTTTCTCCTCTGGAAGTCAACCACTGTCTTGTTTGTCTTGCTGACATTTAGAAGGAGGTGATTTCTTCCCGACCGCTCCACAAAATTCCTCACTAGCTCTTTGTAGTCCGACTCCTGCCCACCCTCAAAACACCCAGCCGTCCCAGATAACTTCTGCTGGTTTCACTGTTGTATAGGAAATCTGAGGTGTAAACAGGAATAGAGCTCCAGTATTACCAACCACCACCTCAGACCACCTGAGGCCTCTCTGACAGACAGTCAGCAATCCAGGACACAGTAGAAGTGTTAAGTGGTATATATGAGTCACCACGGGTGGTGATAAGACAATTTTAGGTAGTATTGATTGGTTGAGGATTTTCTTAAGCTGGTATTGAGGTTTCAAATGATCTTTTGAGCTTTAAAGGTAGTATTAACAATCCCTTATGTGTACCTGATGTGGTCTCGTCTGTGTGTCTCAGCTGGATTCGGACTCATCCACCTCTGGCTCTCAGTCTCACTGGTTCCACACTCTGCAGGCCCGTCGGCTGAAAGTCCAGCGTGGGCGCAGCAACAGCGACCCACTGAGAGGGGAGGGCAGTCGGGAGCCTCTTACCTGGGTCAGGGCGCGTATGACATGATGTTTGAGGTAACATGTGAGGCGGTGTGATGCTTGTGTGACATTTAGTGTGTGTGCTGTGATCAGAAAGCAGGTCTGGAGTTTGGGGCAGCACACTCGTACCTGAGTCTGGAGAAACTGGGTGAAGGAACCTTTGCCTCGGTCTACAAAGGCATCAGCAGGTCAGAGCTCACCGCGATACAAGTCAAACACAAACAGCCAATGAGATTGTGGCTTAAGTTTTGATCACATTGAGTCTGGATGTTGGTCACAATGTACAAAAGACAAGAAAACATCTCCCTGTGTTTAGTTTTAACAAGTTTTTTACAGAATCTTTTGGGACTTGGGCAAGATCCATTGCATTCATCGGAGTGTGAATGAGTGTGAATGTTGATTAGTATACAGCGCTTTGAGTACTCCGGGAGAGTAGAAAAGCACTATATACGAATCAATCCATTGCGGGGTGGCTGTAGCTCAGGAGGTAGAGCAGGTCAGCTGCTGATTGGGAGGTTGGTGGTTTGATCCCTGCCTCCCCCGGTTTGCATGCCAAATATCCTTGGGCAAGATACTAACCCCGAGTTGTTCTCCAATGCATCCATTGGAGCATGAATGATAGTTAGAAAGCACTCACCGTATAGATAATAGTGTATGGGGTGAATGCGGCATGTTTTATAGAGTGCTCCAGGACAGTAGAAAAGTTGTATATAAGAACCAGTCCATTTACTTTTTTATTGTTAGATATTAGACAGATGTTTTGCTAGGATTACTAAAATTATTGTTAATGTTTATTTTTTAACAGATACTTAACATTTTGGAAAAATTCGCAAATATTTTATTAATTACAATTTTTTTTCAATCAAATGAGTTTATAAGTATATACATATTTGTTATTATATATATTATGCATTAATATATATTAATTGTCCATTTCTGTTATGTTGCACATTTTAAAAAGAACGTTTCATTTTTAACTTCAGTAGTTTATCTGACATGTTATTAGTTTAAAATTTGTAATATTTACATTAATTTTCATACATACTGGACATTATAATAGAAATGTATACTTTATTGATCCTTGCTCAGGGGCACCTCATTCAGTGGATGACCTGAACTATCCCTGCCCCGTAAAATCTTCCTTGTGTTGTGATCGATCAGTGATAAAGTGTTTACTGTAAACATTTCTTCTTCTGTGAAGGATAAACGGGCAGCTGGTTGCTCTGAAGGTGATTCGTATGAAGACGGAGGAAGGTGTCCCGTTCAATGCCATTAGAGAAGGTGACCAATTAGATCACTGGTTAAGTTTTTAATAGTTTCAGCAACATGTGCATAAACATGTGTGTGTGTGTGTGTGTGTGTGTGTGTGTGTGTGTGTGTGTGTGTGTGTGTGTGTGTGTGTACAGCCTCTTTGCTCAAACGTCTGAAACATGCCAACATTGTCCTCCTGCACGACATCATCCACACCAGAGAGACACTCACCTTCGTCTTTGAGTACCTGGTGAGAAATCTGCTGTTCAGTGCTGAGTGTGACCTGAAGGAGGTGCTACAGAGCACTCACCAACACACACATACACACACACACACACACACACGCACGCACACACACAAACTTCAACCAAAGTCAGAACAAAATTTTAAGGCTACAATTTTTAGCATTCACACATTTTATATTTTTTTCTTTTAAATGTTTATAAATTTTTACAATTTTATTTTAATGTATATATTGTTTGTTTTTTTGTTTTCATTCTGATCTATTTATTTGTTAATATGGGGGTCATTCCCTCTCAGATCACCATCTCTGATTTGTGTAGAACATTTATGGTATAAGGTTTGAACATAAATTATGTTTTATGTAAAATTTCTTACAACAGTCTTACAACAAACCTTTTATGATATTAACATGATGAACATGAGTATCTGAATAAAAGAAAAGCTTCAAATTTTCTGTGGTCTTTCTCACCATCAAAATGAAGTTTAACACCAGAGATTGTCTCTGCAGCAGACAGATCTGGCCCAGTACATGATCCAGCACCCTGGAGGTCTACGCTATCACAACGTGCGGGTACGTCGCTGCGCTCAGCAGCAGACAGCCGGGGGCAGTACTGTGTCATTCCAGCTGTGAGCAGCACGCCATGAAATGTTTAACATGGCTCAACACCGTGTGTTTCAGATCTTCATGTTCCAGCTGCTGCGAGGTCTCTGCTACATCCACAGCCGCAGGATCCTCCACCGAGACCTTAAGCCCCAAAACCTGCTCATCAGCTACCTCGGAGAACTCAAACTGGCCGACTTCGGTGAGAACCGGCTCAACGCTGCAGGGCAGAAGTGGAAATAGGCAAAGATTTAGTCAGCAAGGACCTGTAGGAACAACAGATTTGTAAAATAACCTAGTTGGAAACAACACACATATATATATATATATATATATATATATATATATATATATATATATATATATATATATATACACATCCATCCATCCATCTTCATCCGCTTTATCCGCAGGGGCAGCAGCCTAAGCAAAGAGGCCCAGACCTCCCTCTCCCCAGCCACCTCCTCCAGCTTATCCGGGGGAATACCAAGGCGTTCCCAGGCCAGCTGAGAGATATAATCTCTCCAGCGTGTCCTGGGTCTGCCCCGGGGCCTCCTCCCGGTGGGACATGCCTGGAACACCTCACCCAGGAGGCGCCCAGGGGCATCCTTGTCAGATGCCCGAACCACCTCAGCTGGCTCCTTTCGATGTGGAGCAGCAGCTGCTCTACTCTGAGCCCCTCCCGGATGGCCGAACTTCTCACCCTATCTCTAAGGGAGAGGCCAGCCACCCTTCGGAGGAAGCTCATTTCTGCCGCTTGTATCTGCGATCTTGTTCTTTCGGTCACTACCCACAGCTCGTGGCCATAGGTGAGGGTAGGGACGTAGATCGACCGGTAAATTGAGAGCTTCGCTTTTACACTCAGGTCCCTCTTCACCACGACGGACCGGTGCAGCGTCAGCATTACTGCAGCTGCAGCCCCAATTCGTCTGTCGATCTCCGGCTCCCTTCTCCCATCACTCGCGAACAAGACCCCGAGATACTTGAACTCCTCCACTTGGGGCAGGAACTCATCCCCGACCCGGAGTGGGCACTCCACCCTTTTCCGGCTGAGAACCATGGCCTCAGATTTGGAGGTGCTGAACCTCATTCCCGCTGCTTCACACTCGGCTGCGAACCGTTCCAGTGCGAGCTGGACGCCCTCACCTGATGAAGCCAACAGAACCACATCATCCCCAAAAAATCAGAGATGAGATTCTGAGGCCACCAAAGCGAAAGCCCTCCGCCACTTGGCTGCGCCTAGAAATCCTGTCCATAAAAATTATGAACAGAACCGGAGACAAAGGGCAGCCCTGGCGGAGCCCATCACCCACCGGGAACGAGTCCGACTTATTGCCGGCGATGCAAACCAAGCTCTTGCAATGGTTGTATAGGGATCGAATGGCCCGTAGCAATAGGCCAGACACCCTATACTCCCATAGCACTTCCCACAGGACACTCCGAGGGACACGGTCGAATGCCTTCTCCAAGTCCACAAAACACATGTAGACTGGTTGGGCAAACTCCCATGCACCCTCAAGTATCCTCGAGAGGATAAAGAGCTGGTCCAGTGTTCCGCGACCAGGACGAAAACTGCATTGTTCCTCCTGTATCCGAGGTTCGACTAGCGGACGAACTCTCCTTTCCAGCACCCTGGCATAGACTTTCCCAGGGAGGCTGAGGAGTGTGATCCCCCTGTAGTTGGAACACACCCTCCGGTCCCCCTTCTTAAAGATGGGGACCACCACCCCGGTCTGCCAGTCCACAGGTACTGCCCCTGATCTCCACGCAACATTGCAGAGGCGTGTCAACCAGGACAGCCCTACAACGTCCAGAGCCTTCAGGAACTCGGGGCGGACCTCATCAACACCAGGGGCTCTGCCACCAAGGAGTTGTTTAACTGCCTCAGTGACCTCGCCCCCGGAAATTGGCGGGTCATTCCCCTCATCCCCAGACACTGCTTCTTCCTCGGAAGACGTGTCAGTGGGATTAAGGAGGTCCTCGAAGTATTCCTTCCACCGCCTGACAATTTTCTCAGTCGACGTCAGCAGCGCTCCGCCAGCACTATACACAGTGCAGGTAGAGCACCGCTTTCCCCTCCTGAGACGCCTGACGGTTTGCCAGAATCTCTTCGAGGCAGTCCGAAAGTCTTTTTCCATGGCCTTTCCGAACTCCTCCCACACCCGAGTTTTTGTTTCAGCCACTGCCCGAGCCGCATTCCGCTTGGCCTGTCGATACCTGTCGGCTGCCTCCGGAGTCCCACAGGCTAACCAAGCCCGACAGGACTCCTTCTTCAGCCTGGTGGCTCCCTTCACCTCTGGTGTCCACCATTTGGTTCGGGGATTACCACCACGCATGGCAGGCACCAACCACCTTGCGGCTGCAGCTCAATGCAGCAGCTTCGGCAATGGAGACGCTGAACATGGTCCATTCGGACTCAATGTCCCCAGTCTCCCTCGGAATGCTGTTGAAGCTCTGCCAGAGGTGTGCGTTGAAGATCTCATGGACTGGGGCCTCTGCTAGACGTTCCCAGCACACCCTCACTACGCGTTTAGGTGCACCAGGTCTGTCCAGTGTCCTCCCCCGCCACCTGATCCAACTCACCACCAGGTGGTGATCAGTTGACAGCTCAGCCCCTCTCTTTACCCGAGTGTCCAGAACATATGGTCGCAGGTCTGGTGATACGATTACAAAATCGATGATCGACCTACGGCCTAGAGCGTCCTGGTGCCACGTGCACTTATGGACACTCTTATGTTCGAACAGGGTGTTCGTTATGGCCAAACTGTGATTAGCACAGAAGTCCAATAACAAAGCACCGCTCGGGTTCAGATCAGGGAGGCCGTTCCTCCCAATCACACCCCTCCAGGTGTCGCTGTCGTTACCCACGTGAGCATTGAAGTCTCCCAGCAAGCAGGACAACAGAGTCTCCAGGTGGAGCACCTTCCAGCTCCACCCAGGTCCCTCACCCAGGACCAATTTGCCATGGGAGACCCTACCAGGGGGCAAAAGCCCCCAGACAACATAGCCCCTGGGATCCCTGGGACACACAAACCCCTCCACCACGATAAGGTAGCGATTCAAGGAGGATATATATATATATATATATATATTGGGGGTGCAACGATACACAAAATTCACAGTTCGGTTCGATACTTTGGTGTCACGGTTCGATATTCTTTCGATACAAAAAATGTTCATGCCTTTTTAATTTGTCATTTATTAAAATTATAAATATATATCTTAACTCAAGAGTACAGTTTTTAAATTTAATGTTGCTGAAACAACAAAGTAATAAAAAAATAAATCTATCTGATCAAGAAATCACCCATCTTTGGAAAAGAGAGTTTATTACAGAGAAATGGCTCTTTCCAAAATAAAAGCTATACTATACGCTTCTTCTGGGCTATATTCTCAGCAGCATATTAAACATATCAGGTCCCCAAAAGCCCCCAGACAACATAGCCCCTGGGATCCCTGAGACACACAAACCCCTCCACCACGATAAGGTAGCGATTCAAGGAGGATTAAAGCAGACAATTTAACTAGTTTAAAGTAAAAAAAATAAAAAGTTAAAATGTTTTTTTCAAATGTTTTCTGGTTCTGTTGCAGGTCTGGCTCGGTCCAAATCCATTCCCAGTCAGACCTTCTCTTCGGAGGTGGTGACGCTGTGGTACCGCCCCCCTGATGTCCTGCTGGGATCCACAGACTACTCCACAGCTCTAGACATATGGTCAGTACCGATTATTCAAATTCAGCTGCCGGCTGTGACTGTGTGAATAAAGTTTGCTTTTTCTGAATTAGGGGGGCTGGGTGCATTTTCATAGAGATGCTGCAGGGGGCGCCAGCATTCCCAGGAGTCTCTGATGAGTTTGAGCAGCTGCAGAAGATCTGGGAGGTCAGTAACACTGTTTATATCACTGATCCACGAAATAGTACTACTGTGTGATATTACACTGTAATAATACTCACATTAAGTACTAATACTATTAAGATGATGTAACCCTGCAGGTCCTGGGCCTCTCCTCTGAGGACAGCTGGCCTGGTGTCAGCCTTCTACCCAATTACAGACCAGGTACGTTTAGATAACACCTCTGACACATGCAACTCTCTATTTAGTGTTTTTGTTTTTGCTGTTATTTCACAGTTTTAACCCTTTAAGACCTACCATAGAACCAATTCCGCCAGAGCTTATATTATATTTTTACATGCTGTGGAGCCATTTTTGGGAGCATTTCAAGTTGCTATACATCAATACAACCATTACATCCTACATTTTAATAATATGCATGCATTAAGTGCATAGTAATTACATAAATTGCAAAAAGGTGCAATAAACTACAAAAAAATTGAAAATCGTTTTTGTTTTGTTAACATATATTTCTAGTTAGAGAAATTTAAGAGGCTTATCCCTCAAAACTGTAAATACAAAAAAGTTGCACAAAATAGTTTCCCACCACAGGAAATTTATTTTGAATGTCTTCATAGTTTTATTTTTGAAATACACCAATTTTTATATACTGCAGGAAAAACGAAAATAAATATTATAGTGCAAATTTGCAAAAAAAACCAGCATATGCATCAAAATAAACTATTTCCAGCAGTGCAATATGAGTCCTAAGCATCCCAGAAACGACACAGAAATTCATAAAGTCAAACATAACTTTTAAAAACACCAGTATAGGCTCATGAGGCCTTGATGGTAAAAAACTACATTTCCGCGAAAATGACATCACTTCCGGTTTCGGGCAGGTCATGGCGGACATGCGATAGTTCGCGCTGATGGACATAGGAAGTGTTACGAACAGCTGATCGGATCGGCAAAGCGTGTTTCTGGAATATTATGTTTTTGTTGCTGCAAGTGCTTTTTATGCAGTTTTTGCAAAGCTTTATGTGGAAGGAAACCGTGACCGAGGACAAGCTGATGGCATAAGATGTAAGTACAACTCCTCCGGTTTCATATGCAAAAAAGATTATTGCGCTAGCTCACGTGGTTGCAGTGCTACCGGGATTTTAAAATAGTTACACAAAACGGAGCGTGCCTGCTCTGACCGGTTTTAAAATTTAAATACAATTTTTTTAGTCTTATATAAACAGGCTAATTAAATCAATGATGTTTTTGTGGAGGTGGCATGAATTTGTCTTGTAAACATTCACAGTTGTTCTGTGATGCCTGGGGTTCATTAAGGGTCATTACTTGTGTGCAGTGACTCAAAATTTCCATCGGGAGGCAACATGTCTCCACGTTTCCTGTTTTAATAGTTTTACTCGGATTAAAATGAGATGATTTCTCAGACTTTGAGGCGAACTCTGCTCTGCAAGTCTGACAGGGTCTCTGATACATCATGTGGGTGTGAGAAGAGAGAACAAAGACGAGAAGAAATTAACCACAGAGTGAGATCAGTGGTTGAGCTGCTCATGAATCACTGGATAAAGTCATCTTTTACAGTAAACTGTAACTTCAGGCCAACCCACACAGAGCTGTAACATTAAAGATCAGGTTCCCCCAAGAATTCACACACCACCTTTAGAGTGATGAGACCTGAGCTGTTCACAGTGATAACACACACTTTTAGATTCAGTCTGACACCATTTAGTTCTCATGTCATCCCAGAACAAACTTCCACAAATCCTTCAGAAACCTGAAAAGAAGACAGTTTAAAAATCTGCCTGAGAGGTTTCAGTGATCTGCTGACACATATTAGGGCATCAATGACAGACTGAAGCTGTTTCATTCCCCCAAAAATAATAAATGTAGGCTAAAAACCAGCTGAAGTGCAAAGCATGGGAACATTTTTAGATCCATGTTAACATTTGCTAATTGCTAATTGAGTGGGGGTTTTTTTCTTCCATAGAGCGGTTTCTTTACTCAGAACCAAAGCAGCTTAGGACCGTTTGGAAAAGGTAACTTTTATATGGGCACACACATGCTAACCTGCTAACACACTTTGAAATGCAAACATTAGTCACATGACAGTCCTTCATCTGTGCTAACTGTAGACAGTCCAACAGTCCACATGTAGACCAGGTTAGATCACTTGACTCTGTAGTCCTCCATCTGCCTGTGTTGATCTGGATCAGGTTGGAGCAGCTGCCATATAAGACCGAGGACCTGGCCCAGGAGATGCTAAAGGTGGTCCCTACAGACAGGATCTCGGCTCCGGACGCCATGCAGCACCTGTACTTCAACACACTGCCTCCTCCCATCATGCACCTCAGAGACAGTAAGAACTCACTTAAATGTTACCATATTGCAGCTAAACTTTAAAGAACATATTTTCTGTTAATTCAGCACTCACCTAGCAGCACTTACTTGAATTTCCAACATAGATACATTATAGATGTATGATCATAAATCCTTTTTTAACAAAAAGCTGTTTAAGGCTTAAATTCATTTTTTTTTCTCTTTCTTTCTTTGTCAGCTGTGTCCATCTTTAAGGTTCCTGGCATTCGTCTGGAAACGGAGGTTAGAGACATCTATAACCCTGGGCGCAAGGTCAAACCTTCCCTGCTGCCCTCTGCTAAATTCTGGTGACTGAAATCTCATAAGCAGCGCGTCAAGATCTGTGGAGTGGAGAACAAACCCAGATGTCTCTCTGAAGACACAAACTGGACTTTAAAGTGATATTAATACAGTGCCATTAAATGTTTGCAGTTCAGTTTGGAGAGTCTTTCTGGTTTAAATAAAGATGTGTATGTCAAACTTTCACTCAGATCGGCTGTTAAGATCTTATGTAAATCTGATTTCTTGCCAATGTAAATATAAACCGTCCCTGCAGTCTTCTGTTAGCATTCATTAGCATCTGTTAGCAGCAGACTAACGAGTCCCATGAAACTCCTCATGAATTTTGAATGAAGCTTTATTAATAAAGCTCCAGGCCAACCTGCACTGAGAGACACAGCGTGTTTCTGTATTCTGACTCTAACTGGATAAAACTCGACCTCTGAAACTTTGTTAGTCCTCTGATACACAAACAAGCCAACAGCTGAGAGAGGGGGGCTACTGGATGGACCTGATTTAACTGTATTTACCTCTGACTGATGATCTTCCCCTCATCCCCTACCTCACTGACACCTCACAACTTGTCACAGCACTGTAACAATATGAAAAATTAAAAGTATAATTAATTTAAAAAAAAATAATACTAGAACATGTGGGTTTTTATGTTTTTATTGTGGGCAGATTTTGGTTGTTTTTGTTTTTTATTTTCTTAGAAAATAATTTTAAATTAATTTTTGTTTTAGCACTCCAACAGATTTGAGGCCTGTCCAGGGTGTACCCTGGCTCTCACGCTATTGCTGCTTTTCCGTTGCCACCTACTCGACTCAACTCGACTCAGTTTCAGTAGTTTTCAATTTCGTTTGAGTGCCACATCAATGTGGGTTGGATCATTGAAGCAACGCAGGCCAAAAGTCCTGTGACATCATTTTTATGCGACGCAACTGAAGAACAAGAGGACATCTCAGTGATAGTTTACCTGCTGCTAAACTGATGGTAATCATCTGCACCTCATAGATGGACCATGGAGTCATTACTCGCTGGCCAATTATTTGCATGCAGTCTGTTGACACCACACCGACCCCGACTGAGCAGGTACCACCAAACCAAAAATTCAAAAAATTGAGTGGAGTCAAGCTGAGTCAAGTGGGTATCATCCGTGACCCACCCTGAATTGTATAAGAGCAAGAGAATGGATTTGAACTTCTGGTGATTTTTGTGGTGCATATCCTACAGTTTCAAGACAAAAATTGTGCTTTTTCTGAGGTGTTACAATCCAGTTTAATTTTCACTTTTTTTGAAACATTGTGCTGATATAAAATATTTCAAGTTATTTTTACAGCGTAGTTTTTGTAATTTGTTGAAAGAAGCTGAATTGTGGAGGCAGGGGTTGTTTGTTTTTTCCTGTTTTTTTTGAGTCCAAAGAAATTTCCCTTCTCCTTTTAAGGTTGCATGATCATTAATCTCCCACATTTACCAATCCATCACCTCTTCCTTCCTCATGAGCACCTGATTTTTATTTCCTACCACTGACTTGATGTTTGATAATTGCATCTATGTGGGCTTGAACATATACTTTGTTACTCAGATTTATGCAGATGTTTGAAAAAGCTGAACATGTAACAGATTAAAAAACAAAAGTTAAAGATCATGGAAAACAAACAAGAAAGAACAAAAACAAACTCAAGTGTATAAAAATGGGCTCAAATTAATAATACATTTTTGAAAGATACTTTGATTTTTAAAATATTTAAAATGACTAACATTAAGAAATAAAAATGAACGAGGATTTCAGTGTCATAATTCAGAACATTCAAATGCATAAGTAGCTGAATTACAGATGATTTCCTGCGAAGCAACTTTCAGATTAAACACTGTGAAACACACACTGACTACATGTTAATTAAAATACATTTTGGATTTATTTTGTGAATAAAACAAATTATCAGTTCATCACTGAATGTCCTGATATCCCCTTTATCATTTAACAGTTAAAAAAAAAAGTAGAAAAGAATTAATGCTAACAACTTGTATCCATCATTAATAATTCATCTTTCTTGTTACTCTTCGCCCCAGCTTTCCTGTGCTTTAATTCGACTAAATGCATTTACATCCAGAGAGATTTAAAAAATATATTTACTGATGCATTCATTCATTTCCTTCCATTATTAAACACTGAGCTCACAGGAGGAGGTAAGCAACAACTTACATCTGCAAACAAACCCTATTCAGAAGCTGCTGGCATGATGGATAAAATGTAAATAACAACAATGAATTCCAAATTTCTTAAACCAATATTTTATCCACACAACACAGAAAACATATAAAATGTTTAAAATAAGACATTTTACAATTTCATGAAAATATTTAGCTGATGGCATCAGCATGTCTCAAAAAAACTTGTGTTGCTGTTTGGAAAACTAAGTGGTTGAAAAAACATTTCGCAGCTAATTAGGTGATAAGTCTGTAAAGTTGGACAAAGATTCACCAATCTGCAAAAATCCAGAAACACCACTGTCCTCTGTTAAATCATTTTATGGACTGTTCAAACATACTTAATAATAATTATATATATAAAAAGATTATAATAAAAAAAGGACAACTTGATTTTTCACTAAGTACGATGATAAATAAAGAAATGGTCTGATGACTCTTCAGGCTCAACAAATCCAATAAACACTAACAGTAGCATCCTTAGTGGGACTATTTTCATACAACATAATGAAGTTAGCCAGTAATAAGTTAACACACGCTCTTGGAAGAAACACAAGCTTATCCTTCAGTTATTTGCAGCTTATATTAAAGTGTTTCACCCCAGACCATGCGAAAAGTCTTTGAGAAGAAAAGTTAAAACAGTGAATAATGTTAAAGAGGATATATGTTGTTCTCATTATTTCTATTAGTGGATTGGTGGAATGCAAAGAAATGCATTTATAATGACATTTATGAAAAAGCCCTGATACAAATGAGTCTTTACCGATCATTTAAAGGAAGGCACTAATGAGGTGAGCTTGCAGTTTAATTTCACATTCCAGGAGCTCTGATAGTAAACACTAATCACCTGTTATCTTTGAGCCTGAACACGGGACAGTTAACAGGTGGCTGACGATCTGCCCGAGAGTCTGAGGCTTGGTATGGGAACCGCAGTTTGAGTATATACATGTAATCTGGGGCTAGGCTGCAAGGGCTGGTGTCCTGCAGGTTTTAGATGTGTCCTTGATCTAACACAGCTGATTTAAATGGCTAAATTACCTCCTCAACATGTCTTGAAGTTCTCCAGAGGCCTGGTAATGACCTAATCATTTGATTTAGCTGTGTTGACCCAGGGTGATATCTAAAACCTAAAACAGTACACCAGCACTTAAGGCCTGGAGTTGCCCACCCCTGCTGTAAATGAATGAATGAAAACATGTACCCTCACCTGTGTGTTGATTGTGCCCTCAAGATTTTACAAGCATATTTTGAATGAGCAAACAGGTTCAACAGAGGCTTGATGCATTTCTGAACTACTGCACAGAACTTGTGTTTTATATGAGTTTAATTTTAAAGAAATAACACACATCCATTCATTAATATCAGTAGACAGTTTGCAAGGTTGGAGAGGTTTGTTGAATGTGTGGATTGTGAAATAGAGCCATGTGTCATCAGCATAGCAATGGCATGAAATGTTATTTTTCTATAAAATGCGGCCACATATATAAAAAAAAAAAAAAGACATCACTAATAGAAGCAAAACATTCTAACTGGTAAGCCATCCCAGATATAGAAAACCAGTACTGTAACATCTTCATCGAGATTTTATGGTCTATTGTACCAAAGGCTGTACTTCAGTCAAGTAGCACAATAACAGAACACCAGTAGTATCAATTCAGTATCATTGGTTACCCTAAAAAGCACAGTCTCAATGTTAGCGAATTCTATACACATTTATTCTTGTGTTGCTATCATCGTTTGTTTATTTGTTTCTAAGGTTCGATAGGAAATATTCAAATGTAGAGAAAAATCTTTAAAAACAAGATTTACAGTTTAGCTTTGTTAGTCAATGGTGCCTTTTTTTCTCAAAAAGAAAAACTTTGTTTTCAACTTTTTGGGTATTTGACAGATTTTGCAGAATTTGTGTTTTCCTTTTTTCTTTTTTCGTTTGCCATCTTTGTTTAACATTTATAGATGTCAGGGCTCGTGTGCGGAGGCGAGGAAGGGATGACCCACATGCAGGACTCGTGGTGCAGAACGAGGTTTATTGAATATGTAGACAACAGATGATAGGATGGATGGCTGGCTGGACTTAGCGGACTGGTAGACTGGCTGGCTAACTGACTGACTGGACGGAATACACGACAGAAACAACATCATCAATGACCCGACACTGAATGGGTAGAACAGAGGGCTTAAATACACAGACTGGTGATAATGATGATAATGAGGGACCGGTGAGTACATAGCTGAACATAATGAACTAATGATAATGGGAAGAGGATTGAACATAATACACACAGACCAAGGCTAACACAATAAAACAGGAAGTGGAACAGGCAGTAGATAAACAGTGAGTGTGAACTGAAAACACTGGGTCACCGACCCAGGAACCCTGACAGGACCCCCCCTTCAAAGGCCGGCACCCGACGGCCAAACGAAAAAGAACCAGAACAGGGCGGGCAGAGGGGGCCCAGGACGGAGGGACGGAGGCCACACAGAGACAGTTCGGGTGGGCGGCCACGTGGCCCGAGGCGAGACTGTTCCGGTGGACTGACCGTGCGGAAGGCAACGGCGGTGACGTGGGCACAGTTCGGGAGGCCGGCAGTGCGGAAGGCAACGGCGGCCAGTCAGGCGAAGGCGAAGGCGGTCCGGAGGCCGGCCGTGCGGAAGGCAACGGCGGTGACGTGGACACAGTTCGGGAGGCCGGCAGTGCGGAAGGCAACGGCGGCCACCCAGGCGAAGGCGGTCCGGAGGCCGGCCGTGCGGAAGGCAACGGCGGCCACTCAGGCGAAGGCGGTCCGGAGGCCGGCCGTGCGGAAGGCAACGGCGGCCACTCAGGCGAAGGCGGTCCGGGGGCCGGCCGCGCGGAAGGCAGCGGCGGCGGCGAAGGAGACGGAGAAGTTCAGGGGGCCGGCCGCGCGGAAGGCAGCGACGGCTCTCCAGGTTTAGGCGTGCTGGCCATGGCCCGGTGGGCACAGGACCAGACGAGGCAGGATCAGGCGAAGCACAGGCCG